AGCCGCTAGGTTGATATGTACAGTACTGTTGTATGTGTGTGTTCTTGATATCATATGTGACCTTATTACCGAAATAATAGCCTTTGAAAATTTAAGGAAGATCATCGTAACTCCAAAAGAAGATAGTCGTAACTTGTGGACAAATAACTTGAAAGATAATCGTAACTGTATAAATTATGTCTATGATCAAAGTAACTGATTTAGTCAGAAACCTCTGATAAAGGAATATTTAATTTAAAAATGTTGTGTAAAGATAACAACAAACGCGTAAATAACATTCATGATCGAAATATTTTTTCAACATAAGGAAAGTTTGTAATTTTTCATGATCATTTATACAAATATTGGTATACTATTCGAGACAACCACATGTCAACGATATTAAGAATATAATGTATCCTAACGTTAAAGCTATACTAAATTATAGTTTGAAATTCCATTATATTGTAACAGGAGACGGTTCGATCTTACTATATTTTCTATGTATCAAATATCCTTTTTTTTATTTTCTGTGTATTTTATTTGGTAAAGTCCGTAATGTTAACTCAGCATCTAAAGCTACACGTATTTTCTACATTATACTTATGAGCTCCTTTTTATCGTGTGTTTAGATATACAATCTACTCGAACAATACGTATACTCTGATACTGATCACGGACTTTGACTTCAATATCTATATAAGTTAACTGTTAATTGAATACCTGCAATCGGACAATTATATCAAATCACGCGTAATTGATCTTATGGCTCGGAAATAATTAATTTCCGAAACACAAATCTACTTGATAATTCCGACTTTAAATTGTAAACCGTCTGTTAGCCTCGCATAAAGGTTCGACCCACCGGGCCCTGAGTCCCCATGGCTGAAGAGATCAAGATAAGTAAATTTTTATAATTTAATAAGGTCTCTCAAAATATCAACACATATAAATTGCAATAACAATATGAAGTACCAAAGTCAACAATGTACACATAAAACAGAGCACTCAAAAAAGTCTGTCAAAATATTGCATTGTAAAATAATGTAAAAGTTCATAAAAAAAATGTTAGATGAATATCAACGGCTTCTTAACAAACCGAATTCTACCGTAAACACCCTAAATTATCGAACTTTATCGAAATCTCATTAAATATTAAATTCAAAACCCCGAAACACAAAAACTCTCTAACTCAATTATTACTAAAGCACGCTGTGGAATTAGACTCTATATTTAGAGGGGGACTTTAGATAAACAGGATAAAATAAAGTAACGAAGAATCACACTGAGAAATAAAGCATATCGGTTTTACTCAAACCAAGTTGCAGTGTCTTATTCATACATCGGGGTATAATAAACCGGTAAGCCCTTAAGGTTCCACTAAAGTCAAAATATAGAACACTTCATAAACATCTAAACTTTGCCTGTATTTTTCAACCAATAATGAATAAAGTCCAAAACTATATAATCATATCTTCATTTAAACATACTTAACATATACACACTGTGTCAATTGTAAATAAACTTGCAATTGTTATGTTGTGGCCAAACCCGTTGTTGGGGTGAACACTAAATTTTCAAAAAAATCTGGAAGCCTGCTAGACGACTAAATTTGTTTAAAATTGGTATGGACGAATACTGTTACAAGTAATGCAGTACAAGCTAATGTTGATTTTTCAGAAAATGTATTGATTTACGAGTTTAAGTTAATTTCATGTATCTAAGTGAACGAATATCGAAGGTACAATACAGAAATTGGACAAATATGCCATTGTAACATATTTATGTGACAAAACAACATTAGCTTGTACTGCATTACATGTTACAGTATTCGTTCATTACAATTTTAATCAAATTAAGTCGTCTCGTAGGCCTTCAGACTTTTTGGAAAATTTAGTGTTCACCCCCAAGAACCGGTTTGGCCACAGCATAACAATTTCAACTGTATTTACAATTTACACAGTGTGTATATGTTAAGTATGTTAAATGAAGATATCTTTCCATAATTTAGGACTTTATGCATTTTGAGTTTAAAAATACAGGCAAAGTTTAGATGTTTATGAAGTGTCCTAGATTTTGACTTTAGTGGAACCTTAATAATATAAATAAACAACGGCGGTTTTATTCAAACCAAAATGTTGATTATGTCTTAAACAGACCTTGTCATTATACGATCAAACGGCCGAAATAATAAAATATCTACTTCATATACTAATTACAGGTAAAGAAATAACAACTTTAATCAACCGCGTACTTCAATACAAACTTGTATATAAAGGTGCACTCGAAAATACTTTAATCTAAATATCTATTGATTACTACCGAGAAGAAAAGAAAAGCTTTCAATCATTTATTTTATGTAAAACACCGAGAGTCCTTATTGATTAACCAATAAAAATCAACTACACTTTTTAGTTTACCGTGGATACGAACATGTAAGCAATTAAAAACGACTGAAATAAATTGGAAATAGAAACAAGCCACCCTAAACATAATTTTGAATATAATAAAAAACGATTCCGCCACAATATCTTTATTTAACACTCTTAGTAACTTCATTTTTTCGTAAGTTATATGCGCTATATGTGTTCTTTTATGTCTAGTGCAGACGCAGTATTGGCGCACACATTACCTACCCACACCAAAGGAACTAATACAACATTCCGATTACAAAAAAACGTGTTTGAAAAAGGAACGAGATTTACAGGAAAATAAGATATCGTGACCTAAAGCATATCTTTACTTGAAAACGAACGTAATTTAAACATTATAGTTTCCATTAATAATGTGTGAACATGGACAATGTTTGCCTCTCCTTGTTCATGATGAACATTTACCAGAAATTATGACTTGTAAAATATAAAGACTATATCTACAAAGCAAAAAATAAGTTAGTAAATTATTCAAACACGATTTATATACGGTCGCCCATCAGCATATAGAGAAAGTTACGATAATCACTGACAAAATACTATAATCATGTAAAAGTTACGACTATCTAATAATCAAGTTACCACTATCATAACAAACAAAATTCAAGGAGTGACGATGATCTTCCGTAAATTTTCAATGGCTATTATTTCGGTTACATGGTCACATATGATATTAAGAACACACATATACAACAATACCGTACATATCAACCTAGCGGCTGAGTAATTCTTTATAACAATGCGTGTACACGGAGAAATTAGAAAAAGACGATTTTACCTGTTTTGGGCTCCGCCATGTTGGGATCACCGTAACTGCAGTTACGGTGATCAGTTTAACACCAGTGGTGCTTGTTCATATGAATTAGGTGTACATATTAATATCACTGGTTTTTGGTTTTTTCTAAAACTTTAGACAAATGACAGAATGTTGAACATTGTCAGTTGTAGTGAACTAATGCATACAGGGTGGATGGATTTCTCGGGTAGTGCCTTCTACAGTTTACAAACAAAAACTTAATCTTCAGGCAGAGATTATTATGTATTTTATCAGTTTATCTATCATCGGGAATCTGATTTTCTTTGAATTTTTCACAAATGACGAAATATTAAATGTAGTGGCATTAAAGAGGGTGGTAAAGGGTTATTTTCTTGCAACGTGCTTTGCCATTTTTATTTCACGTGCATCCGTGAAAAAGGTTCGTTATTCACCGTTTCGTGAAATCGGTAAAAAGATCAACGTGCAAGAAATTTTTAATCGTTCTTTCATCGTGAAATGGCAATTTCTTTTCGCGTTCTTCCGTGCAGATACCGCCCCTTTACGCCCCTCATTAAATGTTTCTTTCAGACACAATCATATCAAATTGTAATTTACATCGTTAATACAGTTTTTGTAGAACTTATCTCCATGTATGTAGCGGGAGCATGATCTGTGTCTGGTTTCAAATTAAATCATCAAAATTTATTAAATAAAGATGGGACCTGGTTGAATAGATCATTAATATATTGAATATAGAATATTAAAAAAAGCAAAGATCCTTAATGCATATATTAATAGATAAATCTAATAGATTAGAGCCAGTGTATTAAGAATCTTGCCTTTTTTTAAATAAACATAATCAGACATTGTATCGATGGCGACTTTTTGATAAACAAACGGACTAGTTTATTAGTGCAAAATTAATGTATTCTATGGGCGCTTAGCAATCTATAACGATTTTAAATACAAATTTAAATTTTAATAAATTTACTATAACACAAATAGTTCTTTGACCTTTTTTTTTTTTTAAATTAGTTTACAAAATGACGTCTTATATATGTATTTAAACCGGTACACTAATATGTTGTACTTGATAATTCTATTGATGGAAATTTATAAAGCAGAGAATCTGGATTTATTTTTATCAATTTATTAAGGTTCTAATAATTGTCACTTCAAAGAATGACATGAAACTACTTCAGAATGTATGTACTTGCATAGTTTGCCATCAAACCAAAAGTAGCCAAGGTACTTTAATAAACATTACTAGGATTTAATGTGTATTACTGTATTCTTATTATTGGCTGCTCCTATGTAAAACATACATTTATTATTGAATACAGGGGGAGGTTGCATTGTTCATACAAATGTTGGCATACAAAATTAAAAACTGTGAAAAGCATTCGGAATATAAAGTACATGTTTTTGCTACACAGATTTTAAATTTTAAAAATTTGCAGAACGTGCATCTTCTTATTCACGTTCATGATTCGTTCTCTAACTTAATTTTAAAGCTTTAAAATTACATAAATTTCATATGCAAAACTAAAAGCATCATGAACTGAAAAATTCAGTATTGCAATAAATGTGTTTGTTTCCATACAAAATTTGACGTAATGTTTTGATATAGTTAACGGCGTCTTTCTCACAAAGATATTTCACCTCCAAAAGTCTGGAAATGTCATAGTGGGTCACATATAATAAAAACATAATTTATTTACACTAAATATGTGATATGAAGAGTTAGCGGAAACAGCCGAAGATATTTTGTTTCGGCCTTGTGTTAAGGGTTGCCAAAAAAAAAATACATTAAAGAAAAATCAAACACTTACCTTTTCCTAGCTTTCGGATGATTACTTCCTCCAGAAATCAACGTGTATGTGTCTCATCAAAGTATTCGTGAAAAAGGTATAACCATTTACTTTGCTGTAGTTTTTGCTGAAGACGTTTTATGTTTGAAATGGAAATTATTTATACCTGACATGCATTGATACTTATATGAGAGAGTTTACAATCTCGTTTTTTTTCTATCTTAAATTCATTCTTTGCTTCGTAGATTTTAAAGTTTTCGTAGATTTTTAGGTAAAAATTCATGCATCCTTGAAAGCTTTTAACTTTTTAAACTATTGTAGGTGTCATTTTGTAAACCAAGTTAAAACTGTTGTATTTCGCAAGCTGTGCGTGTAATGGAAACGCATGATTACAGAAAACAATTTAGATTATTTTTAAATATCTAAAACGAATACTTGTACTAAATCTAGACAGATATACACGTTTACGTTAATAAAAACTAACACATTTGATTAAGGATTATTCACATGCTATTGAATCAAAATGCAAAATTTTCAATAAAGTTGAAGACGTGGGAGCAATTTCCGATAAATTTGATATTTTCAAGGGAAAATCATTAAAAATATTTGGCCGGCACTTATTTTTGAAAATGAAGACATTCCTGTTATTTACCTTTGATATGAATTAGATGAAAATCTTGCTAAATGTGTACATGCAAGAGCACTTACAATGCAATTTTCCATATAATCAATGTTTCCATGGGGCATAACTCTTTTGAAAATAATTGATCGGCACTGATTTTCGAACTCGTCAAAGACATTACTGATATAAACCTATGATAAAAGTTTCATAAAAATCTGGTAAGAATAGGACACATGAGAGCGCTAGCGATGCCATTTTCCAAATTATTAATGTTTCTAAGGAGCATAACTCTTTCAAAAATAATTGATCGGCACTGATTTTCGAACTCGTCCAAGATATTGCTTATATTGACATGATATAATTTTCATAAAAATCTAACATGAATTTTAATAATGAGAGCGCTAACGATGGAATATTTTCCTTATAATTGATGTTTCCAAGAGACATAACTCTTTTAAAAATAATTCGTCGGCACTGCTTTTCGAACTCGCCCAAGACATCGCTGATATTTACATATGATATAAGTTTTATGAAAATCTGTCAAAAATTGTACAAATGAGAAAGCTAATGATGCAATTTTCCATATAATTAATGCTTTCAAGGGGAATTACTCTTTTAAAAATATTTGATCGTCACTGATTTTCGAACTCGTCCAAGACATTGCTGATATAAACCTATCATATAAGTTTCTGGTTTCGTTGTAGAAATACCTGCGCGGGGGACAACAAAGGATATGGGATATCCATCCATGACACAACATCAGTACATGCATAGCAACAATAAAAAAACACAAAAAGCAAAGGAACAGCGCTTTTCTTGCTTTTCTTCATCTCAAAGTCACAGTGAGTAAACATGTCAAAGTATACATTTAGTGAAACAAAGATTCTACTGTGATTTCGGACCACTGAGTTTAACATGTACAGATACTCAAAGTGAAAACGTATAACAAACATATTGAACTGCAAGGCAAACTCAAAACGTGGAAGTGCAAAAAACTGACAAAATCAAAATCTATCGATCAGTGTGAATACATTTATGAAAGTAGTCAGGATAACATGTCTAGGTAGCGAATTAAGGATTTTCCTATGATGTTTACCTATCAGGTAAATATGTCAAGTTTTCTTTAAGTAAATTAAGATTATATTGTAATTTTTACCAGTCAGGTACACCTTAAGTGAAAATAATTATAAAAAAGAAGATGTGGTATGATTGCCAATGAGACAACTCTCCACAAGAGACCAAATGACACAGAAATTAACAACTATAGGGCACCGTTCGACCTTCAACAATGAATCAGCTATAAAAGGCCCGAACTATAGCATATATACTCTACAGAGAATAAATTGTTCCAAATTGGTCCAGAGGTTGAGGAGAACATTTGGAAAAATGTAACGACGACGAATGACAATTATAGCAATGGTCTAAGGTCAGTTTAAATCATTTAAACATGTAAAAATTTGATGAATGACTCGTTTGGTTTCATTTTTTTTTTTTTTCGCTACAATATCATATTTAAGTTACTCAAAATTAAGACAAAAGATGACACAACATATATTCATATAAAAACACATTGCGCCTCCATTATACAATAACATGAAATTGATTTTCTCTCCGAGTATTTTCTACCATCATTGAATAAATAAGGATTAGCCCCATTGTCTAGCAGCGTTTCTATACACTCGATGTTATAGTTTATAACTGCTAGATGAACAGCAGTAAGTCCATTATTATCAACTATGCTTACTTTAGGCGTCGGTTTTCTGCTCAAATTTTCTCTTTGGTCAACTAAAACCTTCACAGCGTCTACATTATTTTATAATACAGCGTAATGAAGGACTGTCCATCCGCTCTTTGTTTTGCAATCAATATCCCTGATCGAATATTTGATCTCAATTTTTCTAAGTCGTTATGTCGGACTGCTACATGATGCTCAGTCTGCTTTAAATCATATTCCAAAATTAATCAGAGTGGCCGGATTTAACTGCTATATATAAAGGTGTTTCCCAAAATTCGGAAAAACAGTTAACATCTGCACCAGTACTTATCAATTCTTTAACAATATCGAAGCTACCACCAAGAACAGCTAGATGAAAGATGGACTTTACTAAGGGTTTGATCTATATTCTCTTCCCAAAATCCGTTTTTGTTCAAAAGTCGTCATCTTGCTCAAAGCATATTGAAATAAAATTGAGAATGGAAATGGGGAATGTGTCAAAGAGACAACAACCCGACCATAGAACAGACAACAGCATGAAAGAATTCATAGCAATCAAAGGCAACAATCCAGTGCATAAATAAACTCATCCTAGATACCAGGATTAAATTTTATATTTACGCCAGACGCACGTTTCGTCTACAAAAGACTCATCAGTGACGCTCCAATCCAAAAAAGTTAAAGGCCAAATAAAGTACGAAGTTGAAGAGCATTGAGGACCAAAATTCCTAAAAGTTTTGCCAAATACAGCTAAGGTAATCTATTCCTGGGGTAGAAAAGCCTTAGTTTTTAAAAATTCAAAAGTTTTGTAAACAGTCAATTTATAAATATGACCATATCAATGATAATTCATGTCAGCAGAGAAGTGCTGACTACTGGGCTGGTGATACCCTCGGGGAATTAAAACTCCTCCAGCAGTGGTATCGACCCAGTGGTTGTAAATAAGAGTACTTCTCCAAGTTATAGCTTCTATAACTCGACTAATGGCATCATTGGTATCAATCAATTCTTTGTCCGATAAAAATGTTACCTTCTTTCCTTCCCTGACTGACTGGTCCGAAACAAGGGGGATTGTATGTCTAGACCAATAGCTGAAAATACGTTCGGAACTAAAATTCTTCAAAAAATATTTTGATTCCAGTATGTTCTTATTAGTTTCCAAATATGTTCCAAATATACCGACAAAATTTCATTCTTAAAAAGGTGACTCATCAACAAAGTGTAAAATTTCCCTCTTGATAATTCATTCCACAATTTAAAAATTAACGGTTTTAAAATATTCTCATATAATTCATCTGCCTGAATGACTACAGTATTTTCAACCACATTTTCATTCGTGTTTTCAATGGAATGAATTCTGTCGTTTGTCTTTTCTATACGTTTGATGCCAAAGTAATGCTGTCAGACTGTGATATCTTGTTGATTAGAGATCGGGTCAGAAATAAAGGCAACAGTAGTATACCGCTGTTCGAAACTCATAAATCGATAGAGATAAAAACAAATCCGGGTTACAAACTAAAACTGAGGGAAACGCATCAAATATAAGAGGAGAACAACGACACAACAAAAACACAACATTAAAATGTAACACACACAGAAACGAACTATAATATAACAATGGCCATTTTCCTGACTTGGTACAGGACATTTTAAGAAAAAAATGGTGGGTTGAACCTGGTTTTGTGGCATGCCAAACGTCCCGCTTTAATGGCAACGTCAAACACAACACCAAAATGACAACATCACATTACAGGACCACAATACAAATAAATGGGAGAAGATACAGGACAAAGACACACACGAATAATAGCTAGTAGTACTAGGCTTAAAATTCAATACGCCAGACGTGCGTCTCGTCCACACAAGACCAACCAGTGACGCTCAGATAAAAAAAGTTTGAAAGCCAAAACAATTACAAAGCTGATGAGCACCGAGGACCAAAACTTCCAAAAAGTTGCGCTAACACGGACAGGATTTTCTGCCTGGGACAAGAACTTCCTTATTATTTAGAATAATTTATAATTTTGCAAACAGTAAATTTTATAAAATGACTATATAATAGATATACATGATAAAACCAAGGTGGGGACTAACTACAGAATAAAAACGGATACATTACATAAAACAACTTAATCCAACATATAAAAATACACAGCCGAGTTAGCTAAAGCCTCAACGCACAAAGTGACGTCACATTTGAAATTCTATAAAACACACAAAGTGACGTCACATATGAATTTGTAAAAATATTTCCCAAAAATAAGATAGGACCAGGATTGACCCAAGACCAGATCTGCAATACTGCCATTACATTAGAGCATCATGAATAAACTGGAAACTGTAACAGTCAAAAGTGAAGTAAGACCCTTTAGCAGAAAGAGCGCTATCCTTAAATTCTGTCTTCGACATCTTTCTTTGAAGTCCGCAAGTTTGCATTATTCTGTTTATTTTTGCATCATATTCATGTGAGTAAATATAAAACATGCTTCTACTAAATGAACCATTAAACAACATACAAAGCACCAAAATGCAATATAGTTTCTTATTTTCATTACTCATTTTATCTAGTTCCTCTTTAACAGTGAAAAGGTTTGTCTAAAGAATGCGATTCGTTTTATGAACCTTTGTTTATTCTTTCCCATTTAGACAACAGTGTAGCACTTAAATCGTATTTACCAAGTACATCATCAATAAGAAACTCTTGTTTTTTATTTGTTTTGTATTTGATTATATCCTCGGGGGACTCTACGGGAACAATTTTTCAAATCCTTCTTCTTTAAGTTTTAATGCGACATGTCGGATAGTGGCTGTCTTTCCTAGTCCTGAATTTGCTGTCACC